AAAAAAAAAACTGTCGACCAAAGTAGTGTCGAATAAATGAGTTTCGAATTAGTTTCAAAGTTCTCGATAAATTACCACGTCATAAAGTTTTTAATTAAACGTTTTCCACACAGCCGTTTAATTTTATACTTTATAGGAGGTATACGCTTACACACTTCTACATGACTTCTCATTCAGACGATTCTTATAGCTATAATATTACACAGATACATCTACCTAATAGTTTCGTCGCGAGAATTGTGGCAGTTACATTATTCGAGCRCAACAACGGTGACATATATAATTTATATTATGTAAACAGTAAAATTCCACGTGAATACWTAATTGTTTACATCAACGTATACATGGACAAATTTAATTGGTCTAAAAACAGGAATTATAATGGTCTAACGGCTAAATTCTAAAACTAATCTATTTATTTAATAAATTATAATACATTTTATTACATACGAACTTCCATGTTACATTTTTCTCATGGGYAATACAAATCGTGTCTTAAAGAAATCTTTTAAATAGAATTAAATAAATTTGGCTCTCAAAAATATTTCATTGAACTGAAAGTTTTGTTAAATGTAAGTTTCACAAGTATTATTTAATTAACTTATTATATCATTTCTGTTACGAATAGTTACCGAATTTCCTATACCGCTTCCTCTAAACAAAGCTAATTAGGTAATTCATATTAAAAAAATAAATACTTTAATTAATATTTATTTAATTAAAAATTACTAAATTAACTTTTATTTAATTTCTATACCTTCATTAATTGTCTTGATTGTAAACTATACATAGGTCAAAACTTTTAAATATAGTATTAATAAAAAAAAAAATGTGACGCGTGAATATTACGATACTGATATTATTTTTATTTTATTTTATTATAACTACCAACTTTAAATATTTGTATAAATAATTRATGAGTAAGAACTAATATATCTATTTCGAATAATATTTTTACTCTAATTTACTACATCGAGTATCTTTCAATCATTATTATTTTTTATTTAAACAGTAAAATATTAAAATAAATGAGTAATATTATTTGGTTGGCATTAATTTGATTCAAAATACTAATCAATGAAACCATATTTAAATAATAATATATTCTATCTGTATAAATTRCCCGTATAATTTTACATTTCCCTATARCATTATCATATTGTAGAAATGTAGACTACACTGTTGTGGAAATTGTATTTTAATACTTACGATTAATATTTATTATTATTATTATCATTATATTATAATGGATTTTAGTAGTTACTAAGGAAAATTTTAGATCAAATTAAATAATATATACATATTTAAACGAATAAAAATAAAAATTATTTCAAATTAAATTCACCTCAAACTATCACATTAATAACTTCAATAACGCAAATATTACATTAAATATGAGTCAAAGGCCATCTTCAAAAAATGCATGCACACAAGGAAAACCAATGACTAGAAGTTCGGAATCTAATAGACGGCCACAGGCAACCAGCTGTAGAGTTATCGAACCTATCCAAGAAGAATGTGACGATAATAACGATTCACAAATAAACGAAGATCAAAGTTGTCCATACGAGGATCAAGAACCAAGGTATGATCCCAAAGAGCTTCGTGATGCTGTTAGAATACTTAATCCATTTGTTAGACTAATTAAAGACACTAATAATCCGTATGCTAGAATAGTAGCTCGAGAGGTATGCAAAACTTTTTATCGTTTGTTCCATCCAAATAAACATCCCATAGACGTTATGAAAACCATTAATTGGAGAGCTAAGACTGTAAGAACCCAACAGCTGTGGAGTGAATTTTGGCTCTACGTTCCCGGGTCTAAAGTTGAAGAATGGGTATCGTTACGTGAACTTGTTAAGAATGATAACCTCATAGACTTTAGTGACTATTGTAATCCATGTCAAACGCAAACTGATAATCGCAATTCACAAGTTGATGAACAACAATGCCCCCTAAATCAATTGTTTATTAATGAAAATTCTAGCGTTCAACAGCGTTCAACGCCTTGCCGACAAAATCGATGCGCTCAGGGAACTCAGAAAACTCAGAGAAATTCTCCTGAGCATTTAAATTTTGAAGAAATGTGTGATTTTGTTTCACACCCAAGCTTATACGACGTTAGTCCTCCACCTATGATGGATTTCGAACATCAATCCGCTGGTTCTGATAATCTACCGTGTGGTGCACATAATTCTAAATCAAAAGTTTCAAGAAGAATTTTTGAAAACTTTCAAAGTACTTTTAACCAAAATAAAAATTCGTTTGAATTGGATTCAAAACAGCGCCGTGAGCAAATATTTGGGAACCAGTGTCGGTTGGAACGACTTGACGAATCGACAAGTAAAAAGTGTAGTGTTGGTTTTGAAGATGTTATAAGTGAAATAAAAATAATAAATGGTACCTCGCAATGCAAACGTCAACCTGCAGGAAATGACTTTTATTTTCCGCACAGTGTACCTGGCTGCAGTAATGACCCGACGTGTATGGCTCAGCCTAATCATGGAACTGATAAGGCACAACTCGAATATTACAGAATAACTGCGAACACACCGTCCCCTCAACGAATTCAAAACAACACAAGTCAGCCTTTGCCAAAAACACCAGTTGAACCAGAGCTTAGAACAAATGCTCTACAGTATTCTGTAACTGAAAACGACGAAGTCTGTAATGACTCAGATTCCGTCGAAAGTGTAAAAAGTATACAGCAGATAGTATGCAAATCAAATTTAGTGGCCAATGCATTTACTAATTTGTCATTAGCAAAAAAAGACCTTAAAAAAAAAACAGAAGCTTTTAATATGTTAACACGACATTATTTACATTTTGTATCGAACCCAATAGAAGTAGACCCTCCGTGTGAAAACAGCCCGACTGCCAAGATGATCCTGCAGGCCATCTATAAAAATCCACCAAAAATCATTAAACCATTCAATGACTGTGAATGGAACGATAATGCTTTTCACGACAAAGATTTCATTCGATTACTCCCGTTTTATGAAAGCGTACACAATCAATTAGAATATATTTCAAAAAAACAGCGAGATTACGGTATAAATATGCTAGATGACATTATGTCCACTCTTTATCATATACACTACGATCTGGGTGATCCAAGGCTCAAAAACGATATGCTTGTAGAACACGTCAAACTAATTACAAGAAATACATGGGAATCATATTTTTATAAAGATAAAAAAATGCCCACCATTCCTGAAAAAACGCAAGAAAATTATGAACCAAGTCCACAGAATACTCCACAACAACCGTCTCCAATACAACCTAGTCCAGTACAACGATCGTGTCCGAGACAAGTTGGTCCGAAGCCGTCAAATCGGAGACCCTCTAATGTTCGAAAACCAGTTTCAAATTTATCAAATCCTTCAGGACAATCTAACGGTGAACGACCACGTTCAAGTAATGCACCGAATCCTAATGTCAATGGAAGACCGGGGCCGACGTATAACCAAAGAACGGTTGACGGTCCCCAAGAAGCTTGCAATCCTCCTGCTGAAAATAAAAGTAATTATACGATCATTAATTAAACGTTGGTAGTCTTCTTATATTTTCTAAAAAAAATCCTAAAAATTATTTACAATTTCCTAAATCGTATTCCAGGAACTTTTCTACGCAGAAGTCGTCCAAGTGGTGCGCCAAAAGGCTGGGCTCCAAAATTGAAACAGGCAGATCGACCAGATTCTTTGCCGGCTTTTAAGGCGAAACCTCTGCCAAAATTTGTACGCGATAGATTAAATAATCGAGATGAGGCGTGTTAAATGTTGAAAAATCTATAAAAAAAAAAATCAAATACAAAATGATTTATACTTTTTATTAGAAATTTTTATTTTTATTTTGTGTGTAAGTTGGTCATTGGTGGTGGTTCACGGTTCACTAACAGTAGTTTAAAAGTTCAAATACTAAGCCCCTCTTGAATGTAAAAATAATGTAAATGTATAGTATTTTAAAACAAACATCGGTATTTAATTGATAATCGTTTTTAAAAAAGAGGGGCAATGTAAGTAGCCGCTCAGATGCATACGCCCAGTAGGTGTTGAGTGCACCTCGTCATTGAGTAAGTTAATATATGTGTTAAGTTTGAATTCTATAATAAATAAATGTTTATGAAATACGATTCTGAGTAAAAACCTACCGTCAGTCTGTATATTTTATGATATATTCTTATTTCTATTGATATAGTACTTACTTTAYTTTTAGTACATCGTTACTATTAGTAGTATATATGCGGTAGATTAAGTTGTTTTTTGCCGAAAAAATTGTACTCATTACACTTAGCTATTATCAATATACCATATTATTAATTGTGATTAAATTTCGAGTCAATACACCGACTAACCGTAGAACGATGTTAATAATTCGTAGTATAAATAATCAATAGGCAATATAAAGCATATTATAATTATTAATCTAAATGTTTTTAAAATGTAATTGTCTTTTTATATAAGTAAAACATAATAATATTGGTGTACGTAAAAGTACCGAATTCCCATGAAAAATATTTTTGAATGACCTACAACAAAATAACTGTTTACTTCAATTTGATAATCTTCGTTTTAGTATCTAATATCGTCAACATTTGAACTTTAAATATCCATAAAATAATTGTGTTTATAATAAATTTTTTTGATCTTTTAGTTCCAGTATTAATATTATTTACGGGGATTGAGGAATTTCATGCCTTAGCTATACAAATAGAACATTTTATACATTTTTAACCAAAAAACATTTTTCAAATTTTCAAATTTTCGTGTTTTTAACGAATTTAT